GCCTCCTGATACCACCCACATCCTTGCCTACCCTGCCTTTTCTTCACTACATAGCAGCAAGGGACCCTCTAGACACAACAGATCCCTTTGTATAAACCCTTCATCAGCTTCTCATTTCACCTGGAGCTTGTGGTATAGCTCTCTGTCCTCACCTCCTACATTCAGTCCCTCAACTGCTTCCCCATCACCCTTCTGCCATTAGGACAGACAGCCCTGGCTAGATCTCAGGTGCCTCTCCTGGCTAACAACTTCCATGTCAAGTGTTAAGCTCTTGAGGACAATCCACACTCATCTGTGGTTCCTTTGTTTCTGTGACTCTTACCTGGAGGACCTGCCCCCCACCTGGAAGTCCAGGCTCTGACAGCCTCCACTCAATGCCTTTCTCTACTTTGTCTCTGAGCTTCTCAGCGCCAGGGCTTTGTTTTATTACTATCTACTGCCTCATCCATCTCTTCTACCACACTTAAGTTGCACAAAGGTGCAGATTCCACCTATTTCTGTAACCCTGGTATTGATAAAATGTCTGACTTTCAAAATTAAGTGTATCTGAATAAATAAATTAAGACTTCATGGAAGCATTAGTATCATGTAAGTAGCTTTCGATCTGTATGGACCAAAGTTGAACAGGAGTAACAATTATATAACTACATGGCAGTCATAACTTAGAATTATTGAAAAATGTGCTCGACTGCTCAGCAAAAGTCTACACAGTTATTTGTTATCTTCAAAATCAAAATGAAATAATAAAGAATTCAATCACATTTCTGTTATGTTCTTCCACTAGTAAATTTGGAGTGTTTAGATTTAAAAATTGCACCCAACATCAACTCACCTGTTTACTGATCATATTGCTTGAAGAATCGGGGTCAAAGGGGGCACTCTGGGGAGGAGGGGAGAAGTGTAAGGAGGCTGCTCCCTTCGGAGGGTGATTAACAGGTGGCCAAGATTTGGGAAGGGCAAGTTTTCAAGTACAGAGGAAACAGAAGTGGAAGAATTGTGGTTGCTGCAATGAGGAACTGACAGAGGCAGAGGGCGTCGAAGAAAATCAATCAATAGGGGATAAGAAAAGAGGAAAGTGAGCAACAGGGATGAAAATATCTGGGGAAATAAAAAGAATATGTACAAACAGGATTGCCTCGCATATTTTTTTTATGCTTTTAATAGTTACTTTCTCATTTGTTACAAGTTCTTTCATTATTAGATCTTTTGCTGTGTCAGATAATGAAGTTAGCAGATAGCAGTTACCATTTTTTGGGGGGAGGGACTGGTTTGGATTGTTCTTCCAGTACAAAACTGATGCTACCTGCCAGTCACTACGAGGACTGGAAATCTGAGTTCTTTTCCCTGTACCAGTGATGGCTAGTGCTGCTGAACCCATTACTCCCTTTCCTGTTACCAATGGTTGGTCACTTTGTAACTAACTGCATGCATCTGACGGTAAGTAGTTAAGGTTAGAGACAGTCGGATGAAGCTGATCTTTTATATGCAAAAAATCACTGGTTTCTAATAGCATCATTATTTCCACTTCCTATTCTTAGAAATCTATAAATTCTTCAGAATTAACATTACAGGGCGTTTTAGCAATTTCCCAAGATACAAGAGAAACCAAATGCCCTATAGTGAGCTCTAAGTAAATTCGTGGTCAATCGGGGAGGCAAGACTAACACGCCTTCTGCTTTTAAGCTGACTCCACAGCTGCTACCCGCCCCCCTCCCACAACCATGTTCCCATAAAGCTGCGACTTTGTCAGGTCTCTCTCCTCACTCTCGGTGGTTCAGTTTACGTTAAAGCATTTTTGCCTGAGGCATGGAGAAGGAACAAAAAACGTGGAGGCAGGCCATCCTGCCCTGGAATGCTGGCTCTGCCTGCCTGTGGTATCTTCTCAGTCACTGTTCCATGTGGATAATGCAGTCTACCTCCCAAGATTGTTTGGGGAGTACTGAATGGCAACGGCCGTGGAAAGGACGCTGCCAAATACCTGGTACTAGTAAATGTAACCTGTTTCCTGCGGATGCGTGGAGCAGAATGCTTGTGGTACTCCCTGACTGAGGATAACACGAAATCGTAAGAACATGTCAATTGCTATTTTCGTTTTTTTTTTCAATATCATATTCCATTTGAGTCCTAAGTACATAAGTAGATACCATGGAATGCAACAAGAAACAGGAACATACTGAACGAATAATATGTGAAACAATGCTGTGACCCACACAGATGGAATACCTGCTTGGCTGCACAAAAGAATTAACATTCAAACAGTTAAAAAGAGACTTTACATAGGAATAAGCTATTTTAATCAAGCAAAAACAAATTTATAGTCATTATTTCTAAAAATAAAATTAGACTTTCCAACCCTTGACATCTGCATTTAATAATATCTTCTAACCAAAATACAGATGCTAAAACAGCAAATTACAATGTATCTTGTACAGCATACAGTATGTTCACTGCTTACACTTACTTGAACTCTAGTTGGTCATTATGTACTCAATGCATACTTAAACATCACTCATAATAAAATTTTCACAATTAACAAAAAGTGTGACAAGGCTGTCTTAAAACGGCTCTGCTATAAATTGTATAGAATATACAGAATTACAAAGTCAAGTATTTTTTTATCAAAATATACACCCCTCCCTGAAACTAACACAAGCTATCAACATTTTAAATGAATGATACAATTATAGAAAATATTTGCAAAATTATTTTTTCATGTATAAATATTCTGCCATATTTACTTTGGTCTAGAATTATCAGCATACAAGTCCACTTAAAAAATATCCACATATAAGGGCTGGGAGACATCACTACATGTAATAATTTTATATCTGAAGTTACCCCAAATCAAAATGACTAAAATACACAGTAATCTCCTTGATTCATAATTCTAATTGAGATAAACAAATTAGTAGATGACAGGATTGCTTAGTCAAGATCTTAATTATCAATTCAAAAATGGTCTTTGTAAGCCCTTTGTGACTATCTTTTAAACAAAACCCAAATGAATAGTGCAGGTATACATATCTACAATGTATAAAGTGAAATTGAATTTGCTTGCATGTCCCCGTTTTCCTCTACTATATAATACTGTATGTAAGTAAAAGTAGATGAACAAAAGATAAATGCAGATACATATGGGGGTTATTTAACAGCAAAATACTACAAGTATAAAAAAGTCAGCTCTGATCAAGTCCTTTTCTGAGCATTTAAATGCTTTCTTGCTGACTCAAATTCATATTAAGTCTTCTTTATGGAGACATCACCACACGTGGAGAGAGAATCTGCAGTCTTTGAGCTTCTTGTTCATAACAATAACCTAGCAACCATGGAAACCTTGGGTTTCCATCTATCAACGCTCATTAGTATTAATGATCCTGACTCCCCTGAAACTGGTTTTGGATTCTGCCCATACCAGGGATCAAAGGGTAGAAAAGTCTTTTCTCTCCCACCTGTTCTGACAGTTTTAAAAGAACCATGAGTTCCCATGAACCTAGTTCACGTTCTAGATCTCCTACAGGACAAGTAGACTCTGTGGGCAATGTTGACGGTCTGGGTCAATGTAAAAGAACAATTAAGAACTTAAGTGGGTTTTAGCAAGGAGACTAGGCATCTGCAAACATGAATTCAGACAAGGGTTTGGATACGTTTCTGAGCCTAAAAAGAAAGGGCTAGAGCCTTGTCATTCCACATTCTGTGTTTCCACCCCTAAAACAAAGCAAGGAATATTGTCGTTCCTCTTGCCCACTCAAATCATTGAAAGGCAGGGTTGGGGGTGCTGCTGTGGTCCTCTTTTTTTGTACTAGTGTGTACTTGTGGGCTGCATCATCTCCAGGAAGGTTAATAATTGTAGGGATTAGGCTTTCTCTCACTTTCAAGTACCTTGGAATTTACCTCTATGTGCATGCCTTACACTAAATTTCCTGGGATACTCCTTTAGTGAAATGGGAGAAATTAGGTTTTACTCGTATTCTAGACTGATTAAGTCTGTCTGAAGTACACCCCCACATCCACAGCCTTGGGGTGAATGGAAGGAAGACTGTAAAGAGCTTCAGAAGAATTTGACCTGTCTTCATTTTCTACAGTGAGGACATTACAAAGTAAAATACATACAGGAAATTACAGGTAAATCCTGGGAAGGCTTTTCCCCATAGATAAGGCATGACCTAGCTCTCCGTGACTTGAATAGATCAGTTCTAACAACAACTCAGCCATAACTTCAAGAGAACAGCATTCCATCTACAAGGGTACACATGCTCAAGTCATATTCAAAATGTTTTCTACTGACTTTTACATCAGTGCTCCTTATTTGCAGATCTATTGCTCATCATTAAAATTCTCTACAGGGGAAATAAACAGTTAAAAGTTATAGTGATTTATATATGTATTTTACAATGTCTGTGTTGCAGAAAAGTAGTTCTAGATAACGCATGGATATCCTACTTAGATTACTCATTTCACACATATTTTCAGCTATAGTAAGTATTTCATATGTATCCATTAATTGAAACAATTTTAACAGTGCAGAGCTGGATGGGAATAATGACTATCATTGCTCATTTACCTTTTAACATATTTATGAAGATGACATTTTCATGATATCTGACCCTTATTTTCTCCAGTGACTAAAGACAGTTCAGCAGCCAGTTCCTATTAGCACTTACTAGAAAGTTTTAAATTAGACAAAAATTAAACTTTTTTCACTGGCAGAAATACCACAGCTAAGAACTTCATAAACTTTCACAAGATACTGGGGATATTGGAAGATTCAGCTATTTTGTTTTTTGTGCACTTTACATGAAATTAATGCTAAAACCTCAAAGTAGATTTCAGGGTTTTTTTTTTTTTCTGGAATTTTCACAAATGAAATTTTCTTTTTACATTTCACTCCTTCATGACTTAATGTGAACAAAACTAAACTAAAAACAAAAGAAAACTAAACGACGACGACGACGACAAACCAAAACCAAACCCACCAACTTGTATTTTTTGAAGATTTTTCGAAGTCTCGCCTCTCAACGCACATTTTCAACAATGGTTTGTACATTATCCTTTTGGTCATTGTCCTCGGAATCAACGAGATGTGGATTCTCCAGGGGACTCGAGTTTTCATGGCACATTTCACCTTCTGTTTTCTCCCGCTGACTTGGGTTTTTGAATAAGTGTTTCTTCTGGTGCATTCCAAGGGCAGCAGCTGTTTTGCAAATTTTGGGGCACTGGAAGCAGGCGTAGCCTTTCCCATTATGCTCCCGAATGTGTCTCTGCTCATGATTCCGTTTCGTGGAGAGATACAAAAAACTCTGAAAGCAGAACTGACAGTGGTAACGCTTTTCGCCAGTGTGGATCCGCTCGTGGATTTTGAGGGTCTCATTCAGAGTGAAGGCCTTGCTGCAGTACTGACAGATGAACTCCTTCACGCCCAGGTGGATGCGCTCGTGCTTCTGTAAGTTTCCTTGCACTGAGAAGCAGCGCCCGCAGGTCTTGCACTGGTACGGCTTCTCACCAGTGTGGCACCTCATGTGCATCTTGAGCGTGGAGGGGCTTTGGAACTGCTTGGCGCAGAGCTCACATGCATACGGCCTGGCAGTGAGGTGCCGGTGGGGCCTGCCTTGGCTCCCGGCCCCCGCGGCCTTTTCTCCGTCGCACAGTTCACACTGCAGCTTGGGCATCTCTTTGTTCTCCTCTTCCTCAAAGGCCTTCTCCTGAGGTGCCTTCCCCACGGCGCAGTCCAGTTCTGCTGGGTATTTACACTTATTCCCTGGGTTCTTGTTTTCATGTTCTTTCCTCCAGTTGACTTTCCTCATTTTTCTCAACTGTCTGGATTTCTTTTTGGGCTTGTAGTTGTAATAAGGGCGCCAGGGTTTGTCACTGGAATCCTGGTCACTTGCCTCGTCGAACATTTCGCTCATCTCCACACATTCAGATTGGCAGAGCCCGAGCGGGCTGTCTCTGTGGGTGCCCAAGTTGCTCTCCTGTGGCACAGTCTCTTCCTGCACTTGGTACTTGGGTCTCCTCCCTCTCTTATAGAACAATTTCGAGCCCAGGATATGCCTTTTCACAATGGCTTCATTCCCGATCTTCACGGTTATTTGGCAAAGGGGTGCCACGTTGCTATTTGTGGAGGTTCCGGGCAGAGCCGGCTTTGCGATGTAGGTTTCAATTTTGCTAGTTTCTTTAGCAGTATTTGTACTTTTGCTGACCGACCCTCCGGAATCAGCAACATATTTCGGCTCCTCTGGTGTCTCTCCCCTGCTACCTGGTGTGGTCTTCTTTTTCTCCTTGATGCCTTTGGGTCTGCTCACTACTCGACCCACTTTGTCTGGCTCAGGTTTGCTGTCATCTTTCAGGGGTGCACTGATGGGGGGCTCTGCGGGGCCTCTGAGGCTGTTGCTGGTCATGGCGGCCACGGTGTTGCTGTGCATTATGACGGATGAAAACTGGCTACTGTGCACGATGACTGAGGGTGCTGAGCCACTGTAGCTGATCACAGAGGCAGAGTTCTCACCGCTGGTGCCCAGAGACAAAGCAGGCACCTCTCCTGCCGGGAGGTCAGAACTGACAGCGTTTTCGGTGGAAGCCACGGACACCTCAGTTGAATAAAAGTTACTGTCAAGATCCATTTTCAGTGTCTCCTCTCCCCATTTGGTGCCCTCTGCGCTTGGTACATTGGCAGGAGTGGGTCTGTCCTGACAGGCAGTTTCCAATGGGATGGCTGGACTGCTGGTCAGTGTGCTCACACCGTCTTGGAAATTCAGTGCTGGCAACTCAGAGCTGTGGGGAGCCTGAATGACATAGGTACCAGGGGCAGACTCACTCAGCTGACTGTTTTCTCGAGCATTTTCATAAGAAGAATTTCGATAGCTCTTATAAGGAGCCCTCTTGCATTTCATTGGCAGGAGCCTGTATAGTTTATATGGATAGACACTAGGCTTCAAGCCTCCATTTGCTGTTTTTTTGCTGATGGAAAGTCTATGATCTATGGCGTGGAAAGACTTCTGATGGTTTTTGAGTATATAGTAGGTCATGAAAGTTTCAAGGCAGAAAATGCACTGATACCGCCTTTCTCCCGTATGCCAAATTTCATGTCTTGTCCTGTATTCAGCCAATGCAAATACTTTGTTGCAGTAATGGCAAGGGTATGTTCTTCTCCATGAGTGGACGTTTGCATGTCTTCGGAGGCTGGATAATGTCACGTAACTACGTTTGCATACAACGCAACTGTAGAGCATCTGCCCATTAACAAATTTAACCATGTGGTCTGCTTCTGGCAAGGTACTTCCAGTACTGGAAAATTCACCAATCCTATTTTCAGATAATAGAGACTCTGGACCTGTGAATGAACCTCCATTCTGTCCAATGGTAGGATAGTTTTCCAAAAAGCGCTGGTTCCCTCCAGGAATGGGCATGTGGCTTGACCTCATACAGATCTGCTCATGACGATCCAACCTGTTCAGGGTGCTGAACTGTTTGTTACAATACTTGCACACCAAGGGCTCCTGTGTTGGCTTGTGAAGCTGCATGTGAGCATTGAGCAAAGCACTACTGTCAAAGGACTTAGAGCAGCAGCTACAGTTGTAAACGAGAGGCGGAATCTCTGCAGCTGGCGGCCCGGGGGAGTCAGAGGGCTTATTTTCATCTTCCCTGGGAAGATGGACGTCTCCTTCATTGCTGGGAGGTTTGGAACAAGAAAGGTCGGTAGGTGGCTCGGGACTCTGCTCGTGATTCGTCTCTAAGTTGGCTACTGGAGCAGGTGGTATATTTTCTGCACTTGACTCAGAATCCTGAGGACCGGCGGAGAGTGTCTTTGGCTTTCGGCATGTTTTCGGTTTCGCTGCAAGAGTTTCACAAGTTTCTTTCCCTGTTTTAGCAGGCGTGCTGCTGTCGTGCTCATGTGCTGGCTGGCTTCTGTAAGCCTCAGTCACAGAAGAGACGGCATAGGAGTGCTCTGCCAGGGTCCGCACGGGCTCCGCCTCGTGGCAGCCGTCTGTCCGCTCTAGGCAGAGGCTCGAGGTTCTCATGGAGTCAGAGACCTTTTTGAAGCTTGCCCTCAAGTCCAGTGGAGAAAACATGTTATTACTATTTTCCGTTTCGATGATGGAAAACGCATTTGTGATCCTTGGCCCATTCGTGATGGCTGGTTCTTCGTGCCTTTTTTCATTTTTTTCTTCTTTGACCACTCCCTTTTCAGTAATGCAGAATACATAGGGACCTGGGGAATTGGAGAAATTGCGATCGGTGAGATCTTCCAAAAAGGATATTCCCAGCTTCTTTCCTGCAGCTGCAAGATCAGTGACCGTTTCCTGTCTCTTGACGACAACCGTGGAGCTGTAGATATAATTAAGGATTTCTGTAAACACTTCAGCTTTGAGATCATCCAGTTCCAGGACATGGCTGGAAATACAGATTGTATGGCTCCAAAAGATATTTTTGAAATACAGGCTTGAAGCAGCCAGGACGTTACTGTGGGCTTTAAATTTGGTGTCTTCCACAATGATAGTGACATCACATAAAATGCCCCTAATGCGTTGCTCATTCAAGATGGAGAGCACTGTGTCGCTGTGAAAGTCGTCCTTGAGGTCCCTGGAAAGGGACATGACTGTCATCTGAAACAAAAGGAGAGAAGGTCAGAGACTTTTCTACATGTAACTTCTTTGCTAGTAAGCTATTTTTAATTTCTTTGAAAAACTTTTCTATGAAAATATAGGTTTGTAAAAAAGACATTTATTTGGGGCCCTCCCTGGTGGCACAACGGGTTAAAGTGCGGCACTATGAAGCTATTAACAGCTACTACAGCACAAGTTCGATCTCCAGGCAGGGAGATGACCCACATGGTGTGGCAGTAGTGTACTTTCTCAGTCTACCTGTTTTGCTCCCCATTGTCTCTGGTGAATCCTCTCACCGTCCCCCCCCCACTTGTGGTCTATACCCCAGTTCTGTATGCATAAGTAAATAAATTTTTAAAAAAGAGAACTGGGGTGCACATCAGAGTTATGTGTATGTATATGTGTGCGAGGATTCACCAGAGACAGATTGGGGAGCAGAACGGGCAGATCTGCTGAAATACACTGCTGAAGGGAACAGTGGGAGAGACAGGAGAGGTCTCCTGTGTCATCTCTGGGTTAGCTCCTTTGAAAGTCTGTCTGTTCTGCTCCCCACTCAGTTTCTGGTGAATCTTCTTACCCCCCCCCACTTCTGGCCTGTACCCCAGTTCTGTTTGCATAAATAAATAAATATTAAAAAAAAAAAGACAGGATTGAACTCAAGTCCTTGTGGTGAGAGCGCTGAGACTTGACCCCTTTGCCACCAGTGAGGCACCCTGAAAATACAGTTTTTTTTTTATCTCCCTCTGTGGTCACTCCCAAGACTTGAAGCCAACATTAGAAGCTAAATCATATTTCACTCCAGTCTGCTTCTCATGCCATTGCTAATAGTTGTTATAGTTGGAAATCCTCCCAGAACTCTTAGCTCTTCTTTTTCCAATTTTGTAGTTATATGTGTGTGTGTGTGTGTGTGTGTGTGTGTGTGTTTAAATTTGCAAGGAGAAAGGTGCACTTTCCCCCAAATGTGAAGGGTCTCATCCTCTCTCACACCTGCTGCACTGAATTCTGAGCTGGGCAGTACCATCATCTTGCGGCCAGTCTCCTCCCTATTGTCACAATAGACCTGATGAACCAGCCAAACATTGTTCATGGAACAGGAAAATGATTTCGAAAGGTTTTCCCCAAGTAAGCAGTGCTTGTATGTGAAGGCACTTTTTGCTCAAAGAGCTGGAACTGGAGTGGCCTAGGGCATGGCTGAGCGGTGTCTTCAGGGAGTCCCAGCCTGTGCAACCCAGTCCCACAAGGGGCGCCCTGCTCTCTGGGCTGGGGCCCTTTTGCGGACCCATCTCATTCTTCCTCTGATTTCCCCTGCATTTTGAGCCACACCAACTAGGGTTTTCAAAAGGAACTCTGAGGTACTAAAGGCAAACAAAAAGGAAATGAAACAAGAAGGAAAGGATGTTTCTGAGATTACAATACTGTGCCTTGTCAGATTTCTAAATTAGTACAATTTGAAGGCACAGTGATTCTTATTTTGGTCTGAAGATTTAATCTCATTTTTTTTTCAGAGCCCATTCTTGTTATTCTTTCTCTATGTAGAATATTTACAGAGGCCAGAGCATATGTTTGGGGATGGCCAGAGCATGACAACTTACAGTCTAGTGAAGGATAGTCAAAAGCAGCAGCTTTCATGCTCACCCTCAATAAGAAATACATGGTACACAGTGATGAAAGATACAAATGAAATTAAAAGTTACCCAAAGTATATATGATGCATTCTCTACTTTTATCTTTCATTTAAAAAATGCTAACAGCAAGTAAAGTTACTTTCATTGTATAACAGGTCACCCCTGCACCTGCAGTTAAAAAACAAAAACAAAAAACCCTCTTGCCAAAGGACACATTAACTAGCTATTCATTTGTTCTCTCTATCCCTTTAACAAGTGACATCCGGAAGGTCTTATGTTTTGATGATACTACTTTAACTCCCAGTGACAATGTTCTCCTCTACCTAAGGATTCGGATCATAAGCCCAGTTACTTCTGTGGGATTCTGATTTTTTTCTTCAGAAAGTTTAGGTAAGTATCTTCCTAGCTCTAGAGCATGCTATTTAACTCATGGCATTTATTTATCTGGAAAGACTAAATGGTCACATAAAGAACCTATTTTTATGTTTTTGTAATGCTACTCTAAAATGTCCTCATTATGTTATTTAGACTCTATTATATATGAATCTATTTGATAAATTCCTTTATCCCATTCAGCCATTAGAAGAGAGCATTTCTACTTAACATTCTTCAATTCAGAGCCCCCCACCTCCGCCCCCAGGTGGCGCACAGGGTTAAATTGCAGCACTAAGAATCTATCGCAGCCACTGTGACCTGTTTTGGATCCCCAGCCAGAGAGCTGACGCACATGACACAGCAGACCTCTCCTGACCCACCCACTGCTCCTTTCAGCAGTGTGCTTCAGTCCATCTGCCTGTTCTGTTCCCCACTCTGTCTCTGGTGAATCCTCTCACCCCCTGCAACTCTGGCCTGTACCCTTGTTCTGTTGTGCATAAATAAATATCTAAAAAATTCTTCAATTCATGTAAGAACATACTCACCATGCTTGCTTTAATTTTGAGACAGACGGACTTAGAACTAACTTTTGTCACTTGTTACCCCTACGGCCTGAGTTGCTGGCACGATACTGTCTCGCTTTATTTAACCTCAGTTCTATTCTCTTTACCCTGCCTTTCACTGTACTTCCACATTTCCCCCCTAAAAGTGTAGAAGAACTAAAAGTGAATTAGATGAAATAGAATCTTCGCGACGTCCTCTTGCCTCAGAAGGGAGAATGGGATGCCCTGAAGAGACCAGAGGGGCCATTCTCCACTGGATCCAGCATCAGTGACATACTTTATGGATGCTTTTTGCTTTCCTGGAAGACTCTCTGTTCTGGGTTCCACCTTCTCTCCTGGCCTATATATTCGTTTCCTGTTTGGCTTCTGTGAAGCCCATATATTATTTCAATTCTTTATCTGACCTGACTGGATCGTCTCAGACCTGGTAAAACACATGCTATCTGATTCCAAGGAGGTGGCTTCCATCTAGGCTTAGTTCTTTGCTAGGTCAACTATTTTTTCCTCGTACCTGAAGACTGCAGTCTCTTCCAGAACATTCCACTTCACAGCCCTCTGGTCCTCTTTCTAGGCTTAGCATTCCAAGGTGCACATGCCCTCTCCTGGCCCAGACAGACCCCAACTGGGAATTGTGACGCACTCTCTGCCAACAGAGAGACTCCACGATATATCTTCTTCTGGACCCTTTATTCTTCTCCCTCGAGCACCTGCCTGCCTGCCTGCCTGCCTGCCTGCCCCCCCCCCTCTCTCTCTAGCTTTCCTCCTCCCTGCTGCCTCCCCTCGCCCCCAGACTCCTATGGCAGTTGCTTAAATAGCATTCATTGACCAATCAGAGCATTGCTCACGTGTACAACAACCATATTTGGGCAGGACACACAACGAGCATACACTGATCACGCGGAAGCATTAACTTCCTTATACAGGCGGGTTTGGCTGCTGAATCATGGGGCTGGGGTCCTGGGCACCCCGACAGGGAATAAAGTATTTCTCCTTAAGTAATATATTCTTTAGGGCATCAGATTACAAGCCCTTCTTCTGTAGGGTCCTCTGATTCTCTCAGGTTTTTCAGTTAGGATATTTAGCCAAAGACTAGTTGTTAACACTTAATAATTAGTGTTTTGGTCATACGAACAGAATAACATATAAAACAGGAAAGGCCTCAAATGTCAGAAAATATCCAAAAAACATTTCAAACAACTCTGAAAACTCCAAGTATGATATCTCATGGGGCAGAAGTCCATTAAGAATCATAGTTACTAATTATCACCATGACTTGCCTTCTAGGTACCCATACAAAAAGCTGTATTTTCTTCCATTAAACATGTCACTATATACAAGCTAGAGTTACCAAGGAGCTCAGCATCCCAGAGAAGAAAGAGAACTACTACTAATGGGATTCCATCAGGGTAGGCCTTACACTAAAGGTACGTACCTGTACCTTTAGAAGATGAAGTGACAAGGCACTGTGGAATGCCTGGCACTGAACAATAATACAACAGTGTGTAAAGGGCATTCAGAGCAGAAGGTACACCGAGAGCAAAACAGTGGTAAAAGGGTACACTGTAGCTGGAGTCTGTGGGCCACGCCAGGGTGCGCTCCGTGTCCCGGTGTCCTCAGCCGTCCCAGCACGTGACAGGTCACAGCACGACTGTCGAATGAGGTTGGCTAGGAAAGGAGAGTCAGCGCACAGGAAGGACTCTAGAGGACTCTCCACAGCAAATATTATTGCAGGTAAGCAGGAGCTACTGAGAGCCACAATCAGTTTTGAATTTAAAAAATGACTCTGGCTGCAGCATGCTGGAAGCATGAAGGGGGCAGGCTGACTGCAGGCTGCGGTCTGGGCCAGGAGAGAAGGAGCTCACCTCCCAGATGTAGCGACGGTCTGGGGAGGAGAATATGTACCCCCCACCCCGGAAAGAATGTGGGATGATGGGGGGCAAGAAGGGACTTCAGAGTCCAGATACATTTTTATCCCTGTCTCCAATATTTATTTACATTTTACACTTTTACTTTTTTTTTCCCCTCATCTCAATTGTCCCCGCCGGTTTCCCATCACCAAGACACCCGTGTGCCATCACCATAATCCCATGCACTTCCCTCCCCCCCCCCCCGTTTTTTACCCCATTCCCCACTCCACCCCACAAAATGTCTCTGGTATATGGCTGTTCATTATTCTTGTTATTTTCTCGCCTGGTCCATTATACTCCTGCTATGAGTGAAACCATCCGGTATTTTTCTTTCTCTTTCTGGCTTATGTCGCTAAGCATGATCTTTTCCAGCTCCATCCAAGTTGCTGCAAAATACATGTGTTTCTCTTTTTTGGTTGCCCCTTTCTCCAATATTTATATGTTAAGTTCATGGCATCAGGCTAAATGCTATAGGAAGACAAAAGTTACTTCCTCCTTGAACAAATGCTGACTAAATACTGACTAACCTA